TGTGTGTTTGGCCAGGGAGGGAGAGCGCCAGCCAAAATATCTCAGATGACAAGGCAACGCTCATCTCCCGGCATAGAGGTGATCAGCCACTCATCACCAGGCCCTGGAACATGCAGACTATGGATCCGTGGAGTTCCGATTCTCAATACGAAGCAGTTTGCAGGCGGCAGATCTGGCTGAGCAAAGCCACACCACCGCTGGATTCCTTGTTGACCAAGATTCCCGCCGTCCAGCTCTGCACAGCTCAGCAGCCTCAATGTCGCAGCGTCGCCCATTGTTTGCAGCAGCTTCCGAGCGCTAGAAATTCCTGCTGGTTTTGATTCAGATAGCCACGTCAAGAGCTCGCTGCCCCTTTCAAGGACGACTCAGGCGCAAAATGGGAATTGCTTGGCCAAGCTCCACCCTCTCCTATTTGGCGATGAGAAGCCGCCTTGGCCTAGCAGCAGCTTCTATTAGCAGCAGCCAGTGATGGACTCAGAGGTAGCCACAGTGGCTCGTCTTCTTTCCACCCCCCTCTGTCAAACCCCTGTCATTCCACCTCCAGCTGGGGCAGCAGTACCTCGTCTGCAGCGCAGGATTCCACAGCCGACTAGGTACACCGTTGGTGAGCACACTTCGCAGGCTAGCCAAGGCTAATAACAACAATGAGCCATGCTACCCGCCTGCACGCGCACCTCCCGTACTCATAATAATAGCCGCCTTGCCCACCTAATCGTGCCGTCTTTCTCTTCTTTTTTTCCTACTCCCCACGGATCGTCAGTTCGAGGTCTTGAAGGAAGTTGCTTCGATTCTTTGTTCTCCAGTAAACCAACTTACCGCTTCACTCTTTCAGCGGGCATTCTTTTTTGTACTTGATATTTACATCCCTAGCCGATAATCTTATCTCCACCATGAAGGGAGCTTTCGCAGCCGCCGCCGTGGCTGCCCTGACTGGCGCCGCCAGCGCCTCTCACGGTCACCGCCACGCCCACGAGCTCTTCGCCGCGAAGAGAGCCGCCACTGGCGAGGTCTGTGTCCCTGGATGCACCACCATCTACTCGACCATCACCGGCGAGCCTACCTGTACGTCGATGATCCCCGGGGCGCTTCCAGGAGAAGCAGAGAGCCCTCCTGTTCCCATTGCCTCTGGTGTAAGTGATATGCTGACATTGCCTCAAAGTGGTTCCTATCAAGGCTCCCCCGACCTCCGCAGCTCCTGTGCCTACCACCACAGCTCCTGCTCCTGCACCACCGGCCACCACCTCCGCTGAGACTCAGGCTCCGGCTCCTACTTCTGAGGTCTATGTCGTCCCTGTTCCGACTCCCTCTCCGGTCACCTTCCCAACTCCCGGAACCTACACCATTCCGGCCACGACCATCACCCTGACCGACACCACCACCGTCTGTGGTGCTAGCTCGACCCAGGTGCCCCCCGGAACACACACCGTTGGCGGTGTTACCACTGTCGTTGAGACGGCCACCACCGTCGTCTGCCCTGTTGCCACCGTCTCAACCAGCGGCACCGTGGTTACCAGCGTCATTGTCCAGACCACCTACGTCTGCCCTGCTGCTGGTACCTACACCATTGCTCCCATCACCACCGTGGTCCCCTCGTCCACTCTCCTGGTCTACCCCGTCCCGACCAGCTACGAGCCCGGTACCTACACTGCTCCCGAGCAGGTCGTCACCGTCACCGAGACTGACTACGTCACCTACTGCCCCTTCGCCAGCTCTGGTGCCCCGACGTCCACTCCCGCTCCGGCTGCGCCCACCAGCCCTGCCAGCTACCCTCCTCCTCCTGCTCCCGCTCAGTCTACTCAGGAGCCCGCCAAGCCTAGCGCTCCCGCCTACTCTCCTCCAGCCTACTCTGCTCCCGCTGCTCCCAAGCCCAAGCCCACCCAGTCTGCCCCTGCTCCTAAGCCGAAGCCTGTGGCTCCCAGCGGTGGTCTCAGCGGCAACAACGACCACTATGGTATCACTTACACTCCCTATGAGCCTGCCACCGGCAACTGCAAGTCTGCTGATGAGGTTGACTCGGACATTTCCAAGCTCAAGAATGCCGGTTTCCAGGTCATCCGTGTCTACTCCACTGACTGCGACACTCTTGAGAACGTTGGTGGTGCTGCCAAGAAGTACGGCATTGAGCTGATCCTCGGTGTCTTTGTCAAGGGTGATGGCTGCAGCTACGAGACCCCTGATATCAAGAGCCAGGTTGACGCCATTGCTGCCTGGGCCCAGTGGGATCTTGTCAAGCTCTTCGTCGTCGGTAACGAGGCTATTATGAACGGCTTCTGCTCTGCTACTCAGCTCGCCGAGCTCATCACCACCGTCAAGGGCAAGTGCAGCGGCTACAGCGGCCCCTACACCATCTCCGAGACTCTCAACATCTGGCAGAACCCTGCTGTCTCCTCGGCCATCTGCGGTGTTATCGACGTCACTGGTGCCAACATCCACCCCTTCTTCAACTCCGCCACCACTCCCGATTCCGCTGGTGACTTTGTCGCTGGACAGCTCGAGCTCCTGAAGGAGATCTGCCCTGGCAACGACGTCCTCAACCTGGAGTGCGGTTGGCCCAAGAAGGGTCAGTGCAACGGTGATGCCTGCCCTGGTTCTTCCGAGCAGGCTACCGCCCTCAAGAACATTCGTTCCAAGTGCGGTAACAAGACCGTCTTCTTCTCTGTGGACGATGACATGTGGAAGCAGCCCGGCAGCTTTGGTTGTGAGCAGAGCTGGGGTGCCGCCGCTGCCTTCGCCATCAACGAGTAAGGAAGTTGAAGATTTTTAATACGCAACGCTTGGATGGGTTTTACTGCAGCTGAACGTCAATTACTAAATGTATGGGAATGTCAAGCTCGCCCGGTTCTATCCGTCGGTCCCCCTTTGTGTATTTTGCCACCAGTGCGGGACCACAAACGACACCCTGATGCCGATTCGGAAGTTCAGGCGGTCATGATGGCGTTGGGGGCCGCTCCTTGACAAGAGATGGAACTTGGTTGGCTGCAAATTTTGTGTCCTTTTGTGGTATTGTGATAGGCGGGTCTCATGGCTTGTTTTTTTGGCAACTGCGCGGTGTTTCTGTATATGAAGTCGCCATAGATCCGGGTGTACATTTAGCATCTGATTCTAATGCTGTAATTACTTAATTATTCGATGATGAAACTGTTATTAAATGTGATTTATCTTGCTTGAGTCGTGTTCCAGATTGAGCATCAGTCGATGTAGCCGAGACTATCTCACAGTTTTTCTTATCAACACAATGTAGTTGAGATGGCGGCCATGTGACAGCTTGTGTCTTACCATGACTCAATAGGCTGGCTTGATGTCATTGTTAGCTACCAAGCATGAAGCTCGGATGGCACAGCAACTGGGATATGCATTCCAACGAGCCAACCATGTCCACATATGAAAGCCTAGCTTGGTACTATGCCTAGATTCTTATCGCTCTGTTGATACACATGTTATGAAATACTAGATGAATTTGTATGTACAAAGTGGTTATACGCGTTTTCAGGAGTGTTTAATAATAATAAAAAAATGTTCATTTGGAACAGATTGTAGTTCCTTTTAGCATACGTCAAGTTCTACGATTTAGAGAACCTTAAATCATGGCATCCAGCAGCGGGACCTACCCTAAAGCTTAAAGGTTGGATTCTGGCGTTTTTACAAGCATATGCATAAACGAGTAATCAAGCCTCTATGAGATCATTGTCACTGATTCTGGTTAATCGTACCAAAAAAAAAAAAAAAACCCCCCCGAATCGCCCAAAGAGCGCGTGTAATCGGTTTGCTCACCGCCTGAATGTTGCGCTACAGCAATATACGCACGAAGGTGAGCACGACATAATACGATTTCCGAGTCCTTATTGTGTAACATCTTGTCCCTTGATAATCACCACACCGACAATTAAATTAGCTGAACGTCACGAGCAACACAAAATACTTCAGTGTAACCACACGAAGAAAAAAGGGTTTGTCTTCCTAACGAAATTGTACGACGCCCTAAAAATAAGATGGATATACATACACACATGAACATCGCACCAACTCCCACTTTTGCACCGCCAAAACAATAATGAGCTTGCTCAAGTAGACGTTTCAAAGCAGTTTTTCATCCTATGTATAAAAAAGAAATCCTACTGTGCCTCGGTATTTTTTCCATCCTTTGAGTTTTTGTTTTGTGTTCCAGCCTAGAAAAGCTACAAAATCCTGACCTTGAAAAAAAATCCTAATCGCGAACCAAACCCCCTTTCCTGTGACCGAGCACATCAAAAACCGGCATGGGAAATGGGGGGAAAAAAGAAGTGATTTTTTTTTTCTCATGCAAAACAAAGTAGGGAAAAAAATGATGGAGATGAAGAAGAAAAGATGGCTTATATCCCTTACAATGTGTCCTCATGTATTTGACCAGGTACATACCCAGAAAGAAGAAAAAGGGAGAAAGTTGAAGAAAAGAACAAGGAAATCGCAAATGCCATAGTAATGCAGTTTTGGCCAAGTGGGTAAAGGCTTGATAACTCCATGTTTTTTTTCCTTCTCATTCTTCCTTTTTTCTCTTTTTTTGAGAGGGTGTTTCCGAAGCGACTCTTTAAAGTTCATCGCAGTGCATTATGCAGCAAGAATAACAATGGCGAGAACTCCAACGTATAAAATGATGCTCATGCGTCCCTTGAACAATATTCACAAAGGACGGGAAGAAGAAACAGAAGACAAAAAGAGGCCAAGGTATGTTCCAAACTCAAAAGCAACAGACGACGTATGCTTAGAAGAGCAAAGGCGTAAGATACAATCCCCGGAACAGCAAGTATGAGGCAGCATAATGACGGAGCCTGAATGAAGTAAAAAGTGCAAAAAGGCTAAACGAAGAGATCATCAATGGCATAGAGAGAAGAAAAGAGGACAAAGTATGTACAGGCCAAAAAGGGGGAGCTCGAATGAGAATGCAAGAGGAGGCTAACAGACAAGAAGAAAGGAATATGCATATAGAATCGTAACTTCATGACGGTTGGATTGCAAGGTGTTGCTTAAAACACACCCGGGCCGTCCAGGTACATTGGCGGCCGGCGCCGTAGTATAAAATCCCATTGAGTTGAAGAGTCGTCGTCGATTTTCGTGATCCGCTGCACGCCTCCTGTGAGAGGCTCGTCAACTCCAAAGCTGCAGCGCTCAAACTGCAGCAGGCCGCCTCGGTGGGCGTCGCAGCAGAGAACGTTCAGGTCCTGTCCGTCATTGGTGAATGCCACGCCTCCAATCTCGCCGAAAACGTCAATGACCTGCTTGGAGCGGAACGTCTTGGCGTCAATCAGGTTGATGAAGTCGGCCTCTTCCGCTGCGGCAAGGAGAGGTCGGCCGCTGCCTGATGGAGAGAAGCGCAGGTTTCGGACGCCGGCCATCTCCGTCGCTATCGTGCAGACCGGGGTGCTAACGCCATTGGCATTGCGCCAGTAGCGGGCGTCCCAGATCTTGACGGTCTTGTCCTGGAAACCAGTGGCAACGTGGTAACCATTGTCCGACCAGTCACAGGCAAATCCGTAATCACGGTGCCCGCCAAGCTGTTGTAGGATCTCGCCCGTCTCCGCATTGGTGATCAAAACGTTCAGGTCGTCGCCTACAACGACTCTAAGCCGACCGTCTGGCGACATGGCCGAGCAGTTGAGGGCAAAGGGATATGTGAATTTGGCGGTATACTTTTCCGTCTGAAGGTCTAGGAGGCGGAAGCCCTGGTCATTGCTTGCAATGGCGGCGGCAGGACTGTCAGACCTCCTGGGTTTGTATATCTTGATGTGGTTGGTAATCCCGCTAACGTCGTTGGATATCTGTCCCTCCGAGTAGCTCTTCTTATCCTCGGCAGTCAATGACTGCAGGAAGTAGTCGCCATTGAAGGTGCCGGCCATTAAGACACCGCAGCCGGCATCAAGGGTTGATATGGCGGGAGCCGCCATGCCAGCAAAAGCACGCAGATTCATCGCTAGACTCGTCTTTTTCGTTGCGGTGTTGAGCATGTTGATGCCTTGCACGCTGGGATAGTAAGCATGCGTCCGACCGGGACAAGCAAGCACGCTCCGAAGCTGGAAATGGGCAAGGCTAATATCCCGCCGGACATCCATTCTCCTGAACCTGAAAAAGCTGTCGGTGGCGGGAAGGGCGACCTCTGACGAAATCTATGCAATCTTGGTTAAGAAAGGGTTCCTAGAACAAATATGAAAGAAGGGCAGTTATTTTTGCTTTGGTGTAAAGCAGATTGACAAGGCCCTGTGTGACTTACGTGAATATCAGAACCCGGCCTGTTGACGTAGTTCTTGTATGTATATCGACGAATCTCCCTGGCGGCACTGCGTGTTGTGTTCATACTATCCCAATCCAGACCTTGTATGTCACAGCCATCTCCGCGCAGGTCAGAGTAATACACGCGCTCTACTCCACTGGTGGCCTGCTTCAGGACTCTGCGGATGCCGGGCCGCGGTAGCTTATGGCCCGACTGCAGGACGTTCCCGTATGCCCAATAGCGCAGGAAGTCGATCAAGCCGTAGTTTTCGGACCCCAGGATGCTGGGGTTTGGATTGCTCATGTGAACGGGAGGGAAAGGGTCTAGCAACAGCTCTTCTTCCTCCTCGTCAAGGGATAACTCCTCGTCGGCCACCGTAGGTTGCTGTGCTAAGTAGGAGGCGGCTTGGTCGGCGAGTTCTTGTGAGAATGCGCCTTGTATTGGCGCTGGTCCTCCTCCTCCTCCTTGTTGCAAGTATTGGAGTAGGGAGGGTAACGAGTGGGTTCCGGGTTGCACATGGTGTGGTGGCACAGGGTGTCCGTGCTGGTGTCCGTAGTTGTTCAGCATCGCTTCGTCTTCCTCGTCTTCCTCGTCCTCGTACTCTTCACCGTCTTCCTCCCTCTCCATATCTTCTTCGTCGTCTATCAGGTCGTCGTCGTGATAAAAATGTCCATTGGGTGCCACGGCGCCACTGTCACTATCGCTCATGTCTTGGTCGGGGGCTGCTTGTGCGGGAGGGTAATGATAACTTTGGGTGGTGTAAGAATGCGGGTAAGGATGCCCCCAGTATGTGGTTGTGTACTGGATTTGTGGTTGTGGCTGTGGCTGGGGATGGTATTCCACGTTCCCATTGCCGCTATCGGCGCCATCGTCGGGGGCAGGTGTCATGACCTCCTCATCGTCGTAGGCCTCGCCTTGGTCGTAGCCGTGGTTCTCGCCGTGGTGGCCGTACTGGTCGTAGTACATTTTGGTGGTGGTGTTGTTGCTCTCCGAGGCATAAAAGGCCGCATCCTGCGCCTGGTGTTGGCTCCAATTCTCGTCGTGCCTATGCTCCGAGCCGTGGTGGTAGCCGTCGTGCTGGTCGGGGATATTGTCGTTGAGCAGTTGGCGATCTGGCGGCAGTGAGAACGATCCGGGTCGCATGACTGTCAGCGACGACGACAAGGCTCAGGCCCTGATGCTACGGGATTGCGGCAGCACACGCGCGCAACCGGTTGCGTCCCGAGCTGTGCCTTGTCCGGCTTCGAATTCTGATGCCGGTACCTAGCCCTGACCTTGTTTCTTTTCCCCTGGCAGACGGAAATGCACACTCAGGCAAGGGGGGCGTTGCCGCTTCTCTTCCTTTTTCCTGCCTTGATTTTTGGCGCAACGGTCCAAGCTGTCGGAAGCACTACTCTCTTCCAGCCTCGTTAACAAGGCCCTTTGATACGTCGGGTATTTTGCGACAGGACCTTGTCCCTGTTGTGCTGGGTCTTTGTCGATGTCTCGCCTTGATCGAGGCTGCAGATCCCTGAGGCTTTCGAATGGGCGGTGGTATCACTTTGTATACCGCCTATCCGTCACTGTCGTTCAGTCGTAGGTATCCCGCCCGTCGTTTTGGCTTGACTCGTCGGCGCACTAGCCTCTGGGGGAGCTTCTTTTTAGCTGCTTTCTCCTAGCCTCCACCGCACGACAGCCGCAGCCTCAGCTAAGAGGGTACCGGTATGGCAGAGGGCGAAATGGGAGGGTTATAGCGTCCGGCACGCGCGCGCGTGGGGTCCGAATGACTCCAAGGACGGGTAGGCGAGAATGCTACTATTTAGCTCCCTTCGACACCGCCGGTGGGGTTCCGATTGTCGCCTGTGGTGATGCTGGATTCGGATTCGGCAGCGGAACAGTTAGTCGGCTTGGAAGGATTGACTGTGCCTTGACAAGGGCACGGGGCGTGGCGGTAGCGGTGATGGGCGACTGTGACGCTGACGGCGACGATGCCGATGACAATGAATCGCAATGATGGAGGCGGGTGGATGTTGTGAATGTCTGTCGTATGTTGTTGTCGACGCTCTGCTATTGCTGGGGGCAGAGGTTGCGGATGGGAAAAAAAGTCGGTGGTGGTATGAAGGTATGAAGAGGTGAGTCTGGAGGACCCTCGGCAAGGCGCAGGGTTGTGGACAACTGCCAACTTTAATACCGTCTGCCGCGTGTAATGTAATAAATGAAGAAAAGAGGTGTGTGATGGATAACAAATCGTTCTGGTGCGAGTCAAGCCCCCTCCCCTCCCCTCCCCCAGGCTTTTGTATTCCTTGGCTCGGTCTCTTTTGTTCCTCTTTTCCCTGTACTTGATCGACGAGCCTGGAGACAAAATAAAAAAAGAAACTCTCGCAGTCTCGAGCTAGGTAGGGCTGACGCCGACGGCGGGCAAACGAGACGCTGCTCGCCGACTCGATGGCAATCAAATCAGTCAAGGCGGCCAACGAGCTGTGAGGAGGCGTCTGTGGGTGATTGGATTAGCGCCGGTTGGGTGTCGCGAGAATTAATTTGCAGGAGAGAAAACATCCATCAGAATCAGACACATCATATGTGCGGTTTTGCTGATGAGGACATTCTCCGAGCGATGCTAAAATCGGCGCCAAAAACGGGCTGGGGTTGGTGATTAATACCTGGTGCTGTGCTGCACTGGCCCGCCAGCCTCGAGGTTTCCGTGTACCTCACGTCGTTACGGGCCGAAAGTACAGTGACATGGGAGCAACAAAGGTGATGCACCACACGCAGCAAAATTACCGAGCTGCTTTTGGGGACGATCCCGTTCATTCAATGTCTGTCTGGGCCCCGAAAACGCACGCCATAACACCCTGTAAACGCTGTGCATGGACGTGCTTGTCTGCTGGGCCAGGGAGAGACGCCGCCTGTAGTGACCAGGGGGTTTGATTCAATCACAGCGAGTGCAAGCAAGTACATGTACTCAATACACGCTGTAACCCGTACAGAATACAGCACGTACAGCTGCACCACCTACAGTACTCCGTACAGCAGAGACAGCCCGCGCTCCTTTGATTTGCACGTGCGAACCCCAGTGCCTTAGTAGACGGGCCTTTTGGGCGTTACACAGCAGCCGGACGCGCCCACGGCATTGGCCCAAGCGGCGAGTGGCGCTGAGTTGCAGCTGCGCAGGTGATGGGGTGAGGGATGATACTGGCCGAAGTTACAGTTTTGACGGGGGGGATTTCTGGTGGCGTAAAAAAGCGTCGGATATCGCTAGAAAATGAAATCAATCCTCGTGTGATGGCACAGGTACTGTACTCGTACATCCGTGATGCTACGGAACCAGTTCAGTTACGAGCAGAGACCTCGAGCACAAGTACAACTGACAAGCCCGGACGGCGCTTTGCCCGCTCCCGGGTGTCCACCGCCCGCTGCGGGTGCAAGTACAAGTACACGCGCGGCGTTGTATTTGCTGCCGGATAGCGCTTCCCATGTTCCTAGCCCCGTCGTCGGTGCCAAAAAAACGCAAATCCGACCACGATGAGATGAGAGAGAGAGAGAGACCAGACAAGAAAAGACAAACAGGAAAAAAAGGTCCCCTCAATTTCCCCGTTGCGGGCTCCCTTACCAAAATCTCATCCATCACCCGCCCTCTCGACATCTCATCTCTCACATTTTTGGCCGTCTTTCTTTCCCCTTCCATCTTTTGTCCCTTTCTATCATAAAACGCTTGTGACACGACATGGCCAGCAAGTTGTTCTGTTTTATTAGTTCCGACGAACAAAATTGCCGCATGTACTGGATACAAAGTATTGGATGTTCCAGGTCCCATTTGCTTGTGGCCGGGATCACCTTGATAAAAATCGAATGGCTGCTCACTCGCCTGCTCCGTGCATTGTTGATTGCTGCCGTCACTGGCTACATGGTACCTAAGCCGCATCAATGCAAACAATTGAGCGAGCACGCAAATCCCTTGGACGAGCAGAGCCACATGACGGCACTGCAAGAATTAAAAAGAAAAGAGTAAGAATTAAAAAGAAAAGAGTAAGAATTAAAATATAGAAATAAAAATAAACCAAACAAAAGTACGGGGTATACCAACCTAACTGCTACCAACTACGAATACACGCTTGTGCAGCCAGACAACCAGAGATCCATCCCCTGGCGCCTCCCAGGTATCGGTACATGCCCCAATGCTCGTCACCGCCCGAGGCTTCTCGAGTTAGGCCATGATGCAGCTCAGACAAAGACACTGCCTGTGGGAATATCCAGCACTGCGGGAATATGTATGACAGCCACTCCACGCCCACGCTCATGTCCGGCTCTGTGTCTCGTCTGTCGCTCTTGTACGCGTCTGGTAAGGCCTTGGCCTGCGAAGTCCTGCATCTGGCGTGTTAGCGCCCTGCCACGTCCGTACCGCCCATCTTTGAATGCTGCATCGCCTCTCAGCCTCGGCCGTTCGAACAATCAAACCATCCAAAGTCCGAGTACGAAAGGATGGCAGAACAAAGCCTTCTTGTCTCTTGTCTCTTGTCTCATCCAGCTGCTCCTCTCATCCAACCAGCATCTGCCGCCTGCTTCCTCCTTTTTCTCTCCGAAGCCATTGCATCACATCACATCTAAATAAAACAGAAAAAGTTGTTGGGCTTCACTGCAGCTGCATGCCGTGATATCACAAGCCATGCTGCCTCAACTCAACTTGTATCGGCCGTCCAGCTGAGAGGGTCCGCTCGCCATCCTGGCCATAAGGGGTGCCACCTTGCAGCCCTGCCCGCATACAGGATCCAATTTTTCCTTCACCGGTCGCGCTGTAGTTTGTGATAGATGACCTATGGCCTGTGTCGGTTTCGGCCCCCCCAAAGGAAAAAAAAAAAAAAAAAAAAAAAAAGCCCCTCTGCCAGCCAGTCCCCATCATCACCAACATGCCGCCTGGTCTCTGCTCTTTCTGGCCTTTCACCCCTCCCTGGAGGAAGGAAAACAAGTTGAACAAGCCGTGGGAGGGCCATGATTTCCCCCCTGGCAGCTGCAGCCACCACTGTACTTCACACACGTACTCCGTACATGTACTCTGTACTCCGTGCCCCCACAGCAGATATCATATCATATCACGGCCTCACTCCATGTTGACAACCGCTCAGTTAACCTACTTGGTACTCGTACTCATAGATAGAGTATTTGGTGGCACTAGCGCTCGACTTCTCCGCGTGCCCACTGGACACTAACTTTGCATGGTAACTCGTAGTCGCACATCAACCCGTTGCCATTGGTGCGTGCTTGTGACACTCCGTATAGGCGGACGGTAAGCCGCTTTGCTACCATTGGCAATGATCCAGACGATAATAGGTACTTGGCAATAAGTCCATCCCATATCAAATGACAATGAACGGAACACCAAAAAAGCGATATGCGATACGGAGCTGTACTGCGCAGGTAGATTAGGATTCACTGCCATTCTACCCCGATCAGCAGCTGAGCAGCACCGTCAAAGCATACTGACGTTATAAACACTGCACTAAATCAAACTATATCACAAATCTTTATTTCATTTTCTCGTCTTCTTGCCTCTTTCTCTTTCTCTTCATGCACTCAAGTTGCCCGGCTAATAAGTAACAAAAAGCAGCAAGAAAACCCCCGTGCTCCCCGAAGCGGAGCTGTGCCATCTCCGGCCAAAGGCTAAAAGACGCTCTCCCCAAACAAACGTATATATTGCCTGTTTAGAGCGCCTCCATCAATGCATCGCAAGCCTAGCTAGTATACGGCAACGCCGCAATCAGATCATACCAGGTACCTACATGACAGGTACAGTAAACATGGGCCTTGCCCGCTCTCCCCCAAGGGCCCAGTTCCCAGTCTCCCCCCGTCCGTCCCAGTCCCGGCTTTTCGCGTACCCACGGTTGCATTGCCTTGGGAGCATGTGGGATGATGGGCTGCTGGATCAGTTTTGGTTGGCGTCCTTTGTCTGTGCGTCTCTGTCTGTCTGTCTCTTTTTGCTTTCTTCTCTCTCTATCTCATTTCTTTCTTTCTCTTTCCTTTGGTCCATGACATGGCTGGCCCCTACATATGACCAGACGCGGGAGTCTGCATGAGGGCATCAAGCTCACCCATGTCATCATTCAAGGCTCATACACACACACTTTTTTCTCGTTCTCGTCTTTCCCCCCATTCGGACCCGGGACCAAATTCCCAAAACGTAATACGATAATAAAACTACCACAAGATAGATAGAGGCGACAACTCACTTGGGTGTGGGATGAGCGTCTCTCAAGTCCAACGGCCGCCAGAAAAAAACAAACCACCGTTTGAAACCCCCCTACGGGAGCGCTTCGCTCCTCGGGCTTATTTCGCGCTCCGTAATCCGTAATCCGTCCCGTCTTTCGCTTGTCTTTTTCTCTTTTTCTAAAACATCCTCCGAACCAACAACAGCTAAAAACAATAAGGTCGAGCTACTAGTGATCGTCCTTTCTATCATAAATCCTTTTGCTCTGGTTTCTCCGCGGATAATTATCGAGCAAATGAAAGTTTCCTCGTAAATTAGTCACGCTCCTCACTTCCTATTACAGCTTCCAAAGGAATAATTTAAAACAAGATCTACAGTATTATTGTAGAGCATGTAACCAAACCTTTTCACTCTAATCTACTGTCACTGCTATACTACTATACCGACCTACCTTTAAAGAAAGGCGGATGGCTTCCTCTTCTTTACAAATCCAAACCACTGCGGCCTTTTTCCCGCCCCAAACCACGGAGAACGTTCCCTAAACAAGAAAGCCATTTTTTTACAGAGGTTGTCCTTGTCCTTGTATTTTCGTCCCGCATATGTGACACATCACGCCGGCATGAACATCTTTTCTCTCTCTCTTTCTCTCTCCCTGTGCTCTCATCTCTCATCTCTGCCTCACTTCTTCTCCGTAGCGCATCTCACCTCGCCGAACTATCCACTTTCTCCAGAACACGCGAAGGTCCGCGGGAGAAAAAGCCCCGAACGAGGCAGACTTACCTACCAAAATAAAATAACAAATAAGAAAATAACAAAAGAGAGGTGTCATCAATTCAGGAATCAAACTGCCCTCCCACGCTTCGGAGTAATAACACACACACCCCTGCCCTACCCTACCTTACAGTACTCGTACATCTTTGTCCTTCTCTGCACATTGTACGCCTCCAGTTGAATCAATCAGAATCTACCAAAATTACCCAAAAAGCGTTCTCTAGTAATACCGGCAAACCACGCCCCCCTCTCAAGTTTCCTCGTCGGAAGGGGGGAACGAAAAAATGCTACCTTACCCTTTTACACCTCTCTTCTTGTCGCCACCCTGCTTCCTTTTGTATGAAATATGTACGTCGATACCAAAACGGACAACTGCTGCTCCCAGGTTCCATATCCATTGCACAGCTAGAAAAAAAGAGCTTCAACACCAAACGGACCGCCTCATCCCGTTCCCGCCCGCCCGTTTCTGTCACGTCCGCTAGTTATCCCCTTGCACTAGATATTCCCGTCCGGAACATACTTTCAATAGTCTACAATCTATGTGTGTAGTATCAAATCTCAGTAGCTAACATTACTCGAGAAAATCTCCCAAACCTGCAAAAACAGCAGCATCGTATCTTCCTAGCGTTACAAAAAAAAAAGTCTTCATACAAATTCAAGTCAGACGGAGGACCCCTCCCCCCCTTCCCTTTCTTAACCCCCAAACTGACATCTCACATTACCCGCGCTTTTTGTCCTATCAACGCGCAACGTGCGGATTCCGCGCCCTTTTATTTTATTTCATTTTGTGAGATTCTACCCAAAAAGGGGGGGAGGGACGCCCGTGCAAATAAAACACTCCCATACAAATAAAACGCTCCCAAATAAATAGCCTTCTTACCCTGTGACACCAAACCAACCACTTACACTTACCGAGCGAGCTGCACGCCGGTGACGCAGGTGTTATACTGTAAATTGCTCGCGACCCGGAATTGACGACTTACACGCATCAGCGAGCGGGCTTACATGTGGCCCAAAAAGCATGATAGGCCAAACAAAAAATGAGAAAACAAATGGCGATGAGATCACAAATAGGGGGCGTGCCTTTACCAAAAGACCTGCTGCTTCGTACTCGCCATAGGTAGGCAGAGCAGCCCGGGCAGGAGGATGCCATAAATGCCCAACCGGGCTTCCCTTTTGCACCAATCTTGCAGCATCACGCGACTCAGCAAATCTTTCCCAGGCTCGTCTTTCATTTGTCCATTCATATACTACCACTGGCTCTAATGGCTTCAACGTTTGGCCCCCACTGCTTTGTAGTCTGCTGCTTGACTGGACGCCATAACTTTCCCGCATGCTGATATACGTACTCGTATGAGGTAGTTTATTCCTTCTAATAGTACTAAGATAGTAAATAGGTAGAGACTCTGCACAGTGCTCGAGGACAAACAGTGGTATTCATTTTTCATTTTTCATTTTTTTGCTCTTTTCTTTTCGCGGTTTGCTTGTAGCCACGTGTGCATGCAAAAAGGCCATGCATATACTCCGTACTGCTCTGACGACATCGTATCTCCTGCAACCCCCACGCTCGCTCACGTTCCGTGCCCAACGATTCACTTAGATTTTGTTGACAAGTCTTCTCTCTCCTTTCAGAGCCAGCAGCTTCTCTAGTGCCTCATCCACAGGAATCAGCGCTCCCTTGTTCTGTGTGCTCTGGTCGTCTCTGTTTCGGATGTTGACGGTGCGTGAGGAGGCCTCTTCGGCTCCGACGACTAAAAGAAGAAGTTCGAGTTAGTAAGTGGTTCACGTATTCCGAATCATCCCATATCTATATCTGTGCCGATAAGGGTTTGTGTGTGCTTACCAAAGATGAAGTTGTATTGCTTCAGCTGGCCCGTGCGGATCTTCTTCTGGAAGGTGTCGCTGCTCAGGTCAACGTCAATGTAGATGCCCTTCTCCTGGAACGTCTGCTGAAGCTCCTTGGCGTAGTCGTTTACAGCAGGCATCACAGGAACGACCAGGACCTGGCGAGGGCTCAGCCAGAAAGGCCACTTGCCGGCAAAGTGCTCTGTAAGGATACCAAACATTCGCTCGAAGCTGCCCAGCACGGCTCTGTGGATCATGACGGGTCGGGCGTAGCCAACAGGCAGCTCGGGGTCGTTGCTGTCCTGGTTGGCACTGCTCTCGTCCTTGGCGGCAACGTAACGCAGCTTGAATCGCTGAGGCAGGTTAAAGTCGAGCTGGATTGTGCCGCACTGGTGCTCTCGTCGCAGAGCATCGTACACGGTAATGTCAATCTTGGGGCCGTAGAAAGCACCGTCACCAGGATTCTCCTCCCACTTGGAGTCAATCTTCTCTGTAAAGTTGTCCAAAGCCTCCTTGAGCTTGGCCTCAGCCATATCCCAGACGGCAATGTCACCGATATATTTCTCTGGTCGAGTCGACAACTTCAGCTTGAAGGAGAAGCCAAAGAGTCCGTAGACAGCGTACAGGAAGTCAAAGGCTCCCACAATCTCGTCACGAATCTGGTCGACTGTGCAGAAGATGTGAGCATCATCCTGCTGGAAGCGGCGCACACGGGTAAGTCCGGTGAGGGCACCAGAAAACTCATTTCGGTGAAGAACACCAAAATCAGCCATCCTCCATGGCAGATCCTTGTAAGTGACGTCTGAGTGGGCAAAGATTCTGCAGTGGCCAGGGCAGTTCATGGGCTTCAGGCCATACGTCTCCTTCTCAACCTCAAAGGTGAACATGTTCTCGGCGTAGTGTCCCCAGTGGCCGGATGTCTTCCACAGGTCAGACTTATAAACGTTGGGGCTGATGACTTCGTCGAATGCCCTCTTCTTGTACTCGCCGCGGATCAGTTCCATCAAGGCATTGTAGATTCTTGTGCCGTGGGGCAAGAAGAATGTGGAACCAGGTGAAACCTCGTCGAAGAAGAAGAGCTTCTGCTCCAGGCCAATCTTTCGGTGGTTGCGCTTGGCCGCTTCCTCAAGGAATGTCTTGTACTCTTCGAGCTGCTTCTTGTCGGGGAATGAGACACCAGAAATTCGCTGGACGGACTCGTTGGAGCTGTTGCCGAGCCAGTATGCGGCAGAGTTCTAACGGAATAGTTAGCAAATCGGTAATCCAAAAGTCGATTACTGAACTGGCAGAAATCTCACCTTGAGAACTGAAAACGCCTTGATGTTTCCAGTGGTGGGGACGTGAGGACCTCTGCAAAGATCGATGAGAGGACCACATCGGTAGACTGTACTTGTGGTGCCGTCGGGAACACGCTGGTTGATAAAGTACTCCTTGTATTTGCTGTAGTTGAACATCTCAAGGAGCTCGTCCTTGGTCATTTCCAGACGCTCAAAGGGCTGCTTTTCCTTGATGATGGAGTTGGCCAGCGTCTCCAGGGCCTTCTTGTCTTCCTCCTGAACGACTTGGCTAGAGAAAACGGTCAGCAAACCTGCATGTTTCCAGGGACCCAGAGGGAGATTCCTTACCCCTCCATGTTGGCCATATCGTAGTAGAATCCGGGAGGGTCGGTGGTAGGGGGACCGTTGCAGAGGTAGCAACCGAATCGCTTCTCAGCAGCCTCGCCGAGAACGTGGGCTGAAGAGTGCCAGAAGACCTTCTTGCCTATCCCACCAGATCAGTCAGCGCCATGCAATTCTACCTAAAGCCCCCAGAACAATTGATGGAATTTCTCATCATAACGTACCCTCCTCGTGCTCAAAGTCAATCAACTCAAGCTTGCAGCTCTTCTCAAGGGGTCGTGTAAGATCCCAGAGCTCGCCATCAACCATGGAGATGACGGTGCGCTCGAACAGGGACTTCGAAATGCCCCTGGCAATGGCTCCAGGAGTGGTCTCCCAAGCGGTACCCTTCTCCTCCTTGCCATTGGGCATGGAAATGGTGATTTCCTCGCGAGGCTTGGCTGCAAAGACACATTCGTTAGCACCTCCTCCAAATATACGTGACAGCGAATCCTGTGCGAAAACGAACCAGCAACCTCGGCGTCGCGCTTGGCCTTGATCTTGTCGAAGATGGCGATACGGTGTTGAATGAATTCTGGGAGAACCGGAAGCTACAATAACAACATTCATATCAGCACGAATTATCTTTACAAAAACGGTAAGATATCGAGTCGAATCGAGTCCAACAAACCTCGAGTGAAGCCTTTCCACCACCGGCCTTCTTCTCCTTGGGCTGCTTCGCGGGCCGTGAAGGAAGGCTCTGGGCGGGAGCGCCCTCGGCCGCCTTGGGGGCGTCAACTTGCTCGGAAGACATTTGCGATATTCCTTTCTCGTTGCGAAAAGGCGTTGAAGAAAGCTGCTGTTTGGCCTTTCGAATGGAGGGGCAGGAATACCCTTAGTTTAGTACTTTATCGTTAGGCGCGAGGTGGGGTTGACTCACAATCAAAGTTGCACGCGGGAGATCCTCGGACTTCTTTTTAGCCAGGGGGGCTATTGAGTCAATGGGCAGTGTAAATGCAACCCCTACTACCTTCTACTACGGATTACCAACAACATCCGACATTCGCAGTCTATTTTAATTTTAACTTTCGTGTTGTAGTTTCTTTTAATCTGTAGGATTCATTGCCCGGTTCCTGAGTCACCATATATCTACACCTGACGTGAGCTGGGCCGGATATCGGAGCCACCAGGAAGAAGACATGTAGGATAAGACTCATAGACAATCAAGTAAGCATCAACTGAGTGTGAATTCCTCATTCCAAATAGACCGGGTATCAGTGCTGCGCTTCCTATCCCAAGAACTCCGCAAGAACTCCGCAAGAACTCCGTCCAAACGCCGTGGAATGCAATTTCAAACCCTCATATCATGACCTCGTTCCGTAACCGTCGACCATGGCCATGTCAAAATCTGACACGACGCTTCTCTTACATCTTCCAATTTCCAATCAACCATCATCTCCTAGGACGTCTGTGCCTCATAGCCCATATCTGGTCACACATTCCTCTCTATGCGTCTCCATACAATCCAATGCGCAGACTCTCGTGCCGCACTTCATGCACCGCACCCGTCCCCAATATCCGCAAACCTCACAGAATACACGCGTGGGGTAGTTGTCCTCCCATTTCCCTCTGGCCTCGTAGTATGTGAGCGGTGGGTGAGCCAGCAGCTTCCTTAGTTCTTCATCCGACGGCACTTCGGGCATACGAGATACTAGCAGCGGATCGTTGTCACCAGGATGGGCCGTTGGTGGTGGTCGGTATGATCCTACCAAAATCGGGGGCAGGTTTGCATCCGTCATTGCCACATCCTCCTCTTGTATGCCCGCCGATGGCTTGGTAGTCGCAGTAGGTGTAGCAGTAGCGTCTCGTTTGCCGGCTGGGCGTTTGGTGTTGGTGTTAGTAGGTCGATTATTGCTCGCCGCAGTTGGGCCGCCCTCAGTCTGTGCCTGAAAAGCTAGGAAATCGTCCAGGTGGTTTGAAAACGTCTTTTGCGACTGTAGTATCTTTCGAACGTTGGGCGTGTACTTTCCAGTAGCTACAAATACAACATGTTATGAGCTTCTGAAATCCCCCCCTGATATATGCACCGAGCGTGTCTACGCACCTTTGCTGCTCTTTGCAGGTATCGGAATCGAATTGTCCTTGCCCCCATCTCTCTCCAGCGCCTCGATTTCTTTCCGGATCTTGGCCTCCTGCCGCGCCGTCAAGTCACCGGCCGTCACGCCCGCGGGCGCATTGCGAGCTCGTTTCCGGTTTGCCGGCTGCAAGGCGTTGGCTCCAGGCAGGGCGCCGGTATCAGGAACGTAGGCCCATCCGGGAGCCGAAGTCGTTTTGGCGCTGGCGAGCTCGATGACGCCGAAGTTGTTCATGTCGCGTCGTGTGTGGTTGGTTTGTGCAGTGGGAAGAGTCTTGGGGAAAGAATTAAAGCAAACAGCAAGCTCCAGATGAACGCAATGGATGCTCACAGGACACAATCAAGCCGTCAAGGCAGCATCCCGTCGCATCCAAGAGAAATCGTAATCTCGAATTGAATATTCAGGTAATAACGAAAAACAGCCGGCTGCAAGATGCAAGTCAAGGGTCACATCAACTAACCCGTGGGGCAAAAATGTCAGTGGCGACAGCTCTAGCTCTTCGGGCCATCCTGCGCCGGAACAACCCGTAATCCGCCATGTCCGCAAAGCTGGGCACATCTCGCTATGATATAGTGCTAAGGTAGCACCTCGAGCGCCATCAATACCCTCTCAAGCTGCAAGACTCCAAGACTTTTGGTCCAGCAACCATAAAACCACCTCATGTGAGCTCCCAATTCCCCCATAGCTACTCTCGCCACTGTGAAATTCGAGTCCAAGTCTCATCATGTCCTTTTAGTGTCCCTCCACCACGAAACCAAGCAACCTCTTCTCCTCGCCACACAGCCCGCAATGCTCGCACCAGCATCGTCAAGAATACTCGCTCGTGCGCTTTCGTCGCGCAGCTTCCACGCTTCGGCTCGGCGTCTGAACGACTCTGCTCCCCTGCCTGCGCGGAAGCCCATGGGCGCCTTCAGAGGAGGGTATGTCGCGACTTGTCCTGGCTGCGATACGATTGCAAGCTTGCTAACCCGGAACCCAGTCTTTTCGGCTTCTTGTTTGGAAGCGTCCTGGCCGGCGGTGCCGTCTACAGCTACGTCCTGCAGGAGTACAAGGCATCCAACGAATTGCTTACCGAGGATATCTACGTATGTCTACCCAACGAGCTTATCCTGATCTTGAGATCTCGAGATGCCTCGAAGTTACCGAGCTCTCTTTTCTACTCTCCCACTTCCTTTCTTCCTCTCCTACAGCCTCGGAGCACGTTACAAAATCGAAAAGCTTTGCTAATGAGACCATTGTCCAGACTCTTCAAGCCTCCGTCACCCGACTGACAAACCACGTCAAGATTCTCGAGGAGAAGATCCAGCAGAAGAGAAAGTAAAGCCCGAAAATATAAAAACACAAATAGCGCAATGTCATTAGGGATGGTATGATACCAGCACTTCAACGCTGGTGGAAAATACTGGGCAAACGAACAGCATTATGGCAATACTTGTGTCCTTGTTTGTAACAACCTAACAAAGCCTCAATTGTAAATTGTACCTTACGTATCTAGCCTTTGAAATATCTAGCACACGAAACAGCAAAAAATGAGCCCATCATACGCTTCTCTACTCAACTCTCACGATCTTCACGATTGCAAAAACTTGTGCACTCATTGGACGCAACATCTTGTTTGAAGTTGATGATCAATTCGAGTGCTCACATCAAAGCAATGCTTCAAATGGGCGTAGAGCCAGTATGCAATTGCTAGTAGGTATTTAGATAGTCCATAAACCAGCGCCGACGTTTTTCGTCAAGAAGCAAATCCCACAATTATACAGTTTTTTGTTATTTCATTTTCCATTTTTTGATTTCTTTACAGCTCGTCGTGGTCGTCACCCTTGGCCTCCTCAGAAGCCTCGGGAGCAGCCTCAGTAGCCTCGACGGGGACCTCAACAGAGGCCTTGTACTTGCCGTTCTCCTTGATGAACTCGATGAAGTCCTCAACAGTGCGGGCACCGCTGTAAGTGACAGGGTTGGCCTTGTCACCGGCGGGGTAGAGCTTGATAGTGGGGAAGCCCTGGATTTCATCAGGGACATCGTTGTTGGTGGCGTCAACCTTGGCGACGACAACCTTGTCCTTGAACTCGCTGTTGGCATACAGGCTGGCGAGCTCATCGTACTTGGGGGCAAGAGCCTTGCAGTGACCGCACCAGGGAGCGTAGAACTCAATCAGGACATCCTTGGTGTCGTCAAGGACGATGTCCTTGTAGGTGTGGGCAACGACAACGGTGACGGGGCCCTCCTGGGTCTCGGGGATGGGCTCAGACTTGATGCTGGGCTCAATCTTGCCAGAGGAGAAGTTGTCAACAAACTTGGCAATGTCCTTCTCGTTGATCTCCTTCTCCTGGTCGAAGGGGAACTTGAGGTTCTTCTCAATGTCGTGGATGGCAAAGGCGGGGAACTTGTCGGTCTTGAGGTTGATGTTGGCGGCGTGAGAACCAAAGTTCTTAGCGTCAATGGTGGCGAAGTTGATCTTGCCCTTGTACTTCTCGGCAATGGGCTTCAGGGTCTTGCTGAGCTCGTCACGCTCCTCAGGGGTCTCGGCAAAGATGTAAGCCAGAGGGATACCGGCAGACATGTATCCGGCATAGGTCTCAGGGCCGACCTCACCAACAAGGGGAGTGGCAGCGACCTTGGCGAAGGATCGGATGGCCTCAGCATCGAACTTCTCGCTGAAGACGTTCTTGCCCTCGTCAAAGGACTTGTAGAGGACGACGGAGGGGAACTCGACGCCCTCAGCCTTGGCAACGGCAGCATCGTTGACACCACCGAAGAGATAGGTGTCACGCAGCTCGTTGGCAACAGCTGTGAAGGTCTCGTTGGAGGCCTTGTCATCGGAGGCGATGTAGGCGACCAGGACAACCTTGTCGGCAGTCTTGAACTCCTCGAGGGTGTCCTTGGTCAAGACGGAAACGGCAGGCAGGGACTGCTTAACCATGTAGGAGGTGATACTAAAGAAGAAGAAAAGATGTTAGCCATCTAGATGTTCAGATAGGTGTGAATTTTGCATTGATTTCTTACCCGTCAGCCTTGCGGGGACCAGTGTAGGGAGAGACGATATCAAGGCCACGGAAGACCTTGAGGGTGGGGTAGCCCTCAACGCCGTGGTCCTTGCAGAGATCAGCCTCGTCAACGCAGTCGACCTTGGCAAGCTTGATGTTCTTCTCCTTGAGAGTGGTGGCAGCCTCCTCGTACTCGGGAGCGAGAGCCTTGCAGTGGCCACACCAGGGAGCGAAGACTGGAAAATGTTCATGTTAGCGGGGTCTGATCTGACGCCGAGGCTCGCGGGGGAGGGGTCAAGAGCAATGGCAAGCTCATCAATGAAGCAAGCAAGCAAAGATTGAGGACGGCAGAAAGTAGAAAGACATACACTCAGCCAGGACGAGATCATTGGAGTTGATGAAGTCGTTGAAGGTGTCCTTGGTCAGGGAGGTGACATCGGAGTCGGCAGAGACCACCGTGGCCAGGGCGGCCAACAGGGCAGCAGTGAGGCGCTTCTGTTGCATGGCGAAGGCTGTGATGGGGGTATCAGGAAAAGAAAGTGGAAAAGAAGAAAAAAAGTGGTGATGCAAGATGGAAGATCCAGTTGCCAGAAGACGGATGAGGCGCCAGGTTTTGTAGTAGGCAAAGACTGGATGACTTAGACGCACTCAATTGAACAAGTGTCCCTTTGGACAGATCTGGCTATTGCTAATGGGTTCAGCCGGGTCCCTGAACCACACCTTGTGTAGCCTAAAACTGGGGCCCCTCTCCCCTCAGCGTCCACTAACGCGCCCACTAAGGAAGGCCGCTACAGCACATCCTCCAGGTCAGGTTGTTTTGCCTGACCGGGTTGCCACCTGACAAATCCAAAGTCAAACAGAAGTTGCTGATTTTGTGATGAGTCTGCACTGTTTCAGGGCTGATTACTATTCAATCATTTTCCCCCTTTGAGCCCTGGGCCGTGCTAGACGATATTGCTTGCCGAGCGGAAACACACAGTACGGGCGACTGGCCACCTCGCCTCAAGTCAAGTTTGTTGGCAGTCTACATGATGTGCCTGTGCGTGTTGCGCTACTACGGCAGCTACCTGCATGTACTCCATAACAGATGCCCCTCTGCCATTCAAGTTGTGCTGCAGCCCAGCGCCAAGCGGCACGGTGAAGTGGGCGGCCAGCGCTAAGCCCCTGCACGATAGCCTCACTGCCATCGCAGCCGCCAATAGCGGTTAGTACTGCGCCGCAGGGTGTTTTAGACAAGAGGCAATAAATCAGCAGGGCGGCTGGGGATACAAGCAATAATAAGCATAACCAGACGGGAGCAAAGTAGCATGTACCCGTGAATATATCTGTCTTGATACCACGGGCACACGTACTTGTACTCTGCGCGAGGAGTACGAGGTCGTATGAGCCGTGTAAACCTCCATGTTTACTGGTGGCTGGGCGGATTTACGGGGTACGAAGTATATACTTTTAGAGTGGCTGGCCCTTTTTATAGCATATGACAGCCTGGAATCTGTGTGTCTCTGGGAGTTGCCCTTTGGATCATCATGGGCTGATGTATCCAATGCCATCCAAATATTGATTTATCCTTATCAATTCCCAAATACATGTAGTTCTACCTACTTGGGTACTTTTCACGACAATCTACCAAGAGGCCAGACGTCAAAAAGGGAGCGGCAATTGGCCGTCCATCCCCGCCCGCTGACCCGATATCCAGCCCCACACTGGACAGGATCAAAAGAGCCGGCCTGCCACAATAATTCTCTCCCGTACCTGAACCAATATTGATACAAGGTATATTGTGGCTATATTGGATTCATACAGGCAGTAAATTCCATCTCCCAGCTTGACGGGCTATCAAAATGATATTACCCTGGCTACCTCTCCATTGAAGGGTTCATCCCGGGGGTTAAATGCGCGGCTCATGCAGGTGCACCTTAACCGAATGTCCGATGCATGGCAAAGTGCCATCTGTCCAGATCTCATGCCATCTAATTATCGATAACCAGCAAAGGACACGGAGCCTCGATGAAAAGTAAAAAAAATTCAATCGAATAGAGGCGGAAACACAATTTACATTGCAGAAATTGGACCTATTACGCTCAGGTAAAAGAAAATAATGGCTTCACTTAGTGCTGATGCCGTACTCGCTGTGGATAATCCAAAATGGACGTATAAAAAAGTAAATTCAAACCAAAAACTAAAACAATGAGCCCATCATCCATCTACTCCGGCAATATATCGCTTTAAACCCTGTGTCTATGCGCTGATTTTTCTATTCCTTCTCTTCTCCGGTAACAATAACTTAAAACTTCTTGCTAAAGTCTGTCCGAGGTCCGGCTCTAGAATACTGGTTCGCCCACTTGACGGGCACCTTCAGCTCGTGAGCTACTCTCAGTACCCACTCAGGCTCTCTCAGGAACTGTCGTGCAACCAGAGCCAGCTCGCCCGCAGCCTCGGGGCCCTCCTGGACGACATCGTAGGCCGTCTGCGCATCGGTGATGTTGCCCACGGCGCCGACAATCAAGTCGATGCCATCTGCGCGAAGGGCCTTGCGAATCTCGCGGGCAATGTCGATCTGGAAAAGACGGTTGTCGGGGAATCTCTGCTGGTAGTTGTTGGCGCCGGAGCTGACGTCGAGGATGTCAACGCCCCATGATGGGATCACCTTGGCGAGCTTGATGGTCTCCTCGACGGTCCATGATGGCTGACCGGCCCATTCCATCCATTCGGTGGCGGAAAGACGCAGGGAGAGCGGCATATCGGCGGGGATCACGGCGCGGACAGCCTCGACGACTTCACGGGCGAAGCGGCTGCGGTTCTCAAAGCTACCACCGTACTCGTCGGTACGTTGCTATACAGGTGTTAGTCATCAAACATGAACAATATAGTATTCTCGGTGTCTTAGTGAACTTACGTTGCTCAGGGGCGACAGGAAGCTGCAGATGAGGTAGCCGTGGGCGCCGTGGACCTCAATCATATCGACTCCGGCCTTGACAGCACGCTGCGCAGTCTCGGCAAACTTCTGCACAAGGCCCTTAATCTCGGCCTTGGTCAATTCCTTGGGAAGGGCGTTGGTCTCGTCGAATGGGATGGCGCTGGGGCCGACGACGTCGTTGGGCCAGCCGCCAACATCCTCCTCAGCCAAAGTCTTGTTCGCAGTGCCACCAATCCAAGGCGCCAAGGTGCTGGCCTTGCGGCCGGCGTGGGCAATCTGGATGCCGATCTTGGAGCCCTGGCTGTGGACGAAATCGACAACTCGCTTCAGAGGTGCAATCTGCGAGTCCTGCCACAGACCGGAGTCCTGGGGCGAGATGCGGCCGCGGGGCTCAACAGCCGTGGCCTCGACGATGATGAGGCCGGTACCGTGAAGCGCCAGCTGGCCCAGGTGTACCAGGTGGTAGTCAGTCAAGTGGCCATCGTCGGCGCTGTACTGGCACATAGGAGCCACCACAACACGGTTGTGCAGCTCGAGAGAGCGAATCTTGATGGGCTGGAATAGCGTGGGTACTGAGTCCTTGTTCAGAGGGGTTCCGGCCGGCGGGTTCTGAGCTGGGGTGTAAAAGGGCACGCCAGGAGCGGCCGTGTTCTCGGTGTTGACGCTGATGCTGCCCATTTTGGAGTTGTGTATGTGTGTATGGCGGATTCAGAGAGTTGAGTTGTTTCGTGAGGAGAGTGTTTGACAGCCCCGTTCGAGAGGTGGTCTATCTCGATAGTCCGGATAGCGGATAAGTATGGGTTTCGAGGGGTCGGTGATTAGCCAAGAGCTACAACAATTCCGCAGGCACTGGTATTAGTTGTAGACGAGTTAGGCGATCAAGGCAAAGGAAGATGCTAAGGAAGTCTTAGATGCAAATGTTGCTGTTGATTCCGATTCCAGAGATTCGACTGTCGTGTCCTTGGCCAGACTTTATATATCTTCAACAAAAGATCCATGGCTCGCGCAATCCTCGGTATCGGGCCAATCCAAGCACATCATCGACCAAACGACCCAGAAACGTCTCCATACCTCCCCTGATACGTTTATTCCCGCTCGCGCCATCTCTCGGCATCCAGCAATCGCAAATTCATGCTGTGCCATTAGCTCCTGGGTGGGCATTAGTCATCGCTGCTATTCTATGGTGTTGCCCAGCTATCGCGGCCCGGTTTTCTCGTCCCTCCTACTAGTCTATCATGTATGAAATTTCCTAGCACAGCCTGTAAAACGAAAATTCAAGAGGGGTTGCTGAATAATTCAACCTTGATTTGATAATGAGAGGCGCGGCCATAGTTGCCCATCGCCTTACTCAGGCAATTTTTGCGGCGGTAAACCGGCTTTTAGCGCTCGCAAGTTTTCCCGAGCCCCATGGATCGATCGGATCTGATTTGATGTTTCTCGGCCGTCACTCCACACACTTTTCTGCGGTTGTGCCTGTGTATTCTTCGCGAGTCTTCTATGCTTATCCCTCGGCATATCCGCCCCTTCGCTCTCGCTTCTAGCCTAGAAGCCTAGAAATTCCTTCGTTCTCGCTTTCGACACGGCAACATCCGCATTTTAGGCGTTAAAGATGCTCAAGCCACAACAGCAGCGGACTTAATCCAAAGGGACGCATCCTCGTCTGTGATTGGTCCTTATGACTATCTTGTTCATTAATAATGATGACGTCGCTCACTTGTTTGGTCTCCCTTGCCTTAGAGAGGAATGCAAGTCGTCGCGTTTCGGACGCAAAGAATTATCCGATCTATATAAGCAGTTTGCCTTGTGAGCCGGGCCCGTTAGTTAATCGGATCAGGTCTAGATATGATCGGAATAATCTCCAATTCTATCACAGCTGCCACACGGACTTGTCCTGCCACCATGAGATGATTCGTACAAGAAATTACGTGCTCCCATCAACTCCTTGAGGCTTGTATTGATTCTTTCTTTAGCCAGGTCATTTCCATGCAAAGTAATGGCAAGTCTCGCTCGTAGTTATCAAGTTTAAGGCTGGCATCATGCGAAAGACATGTCGAATTGGACATTGGTAGTGAACAAATCAGCTCAACTTCATTTTACAGATCAAAACTCTTCCAAGGTTTGCCGGCCACGGCCAATCAAATCCAGCTTTTCAGCCGGCATCTCGAAGCCGGATCGCCGCACACTCCCGGATATAGGTGCAGACCCCTGATTGCCAAGACAGATAAGGAAGCGTATTAAAAATCCACATATGCGTACCTATGTAGCAATTCAATATCAAGATGTATTTGCCCACCAGATATTCAGCTATGCTGCTCCAGGCTGATCCTCGGCTCATCCCCAGACAAATGAAATCTAGACAATAAGCTCTCCCTGCCTGGCCTTGAAAGTGCGGGGAACCATGTACTCCAACCCGCCATGGAAGCACCATAGCCTGGCATCCAGCCAATAGCAACCGAACAAAGGCAAGCATCGGCCTCAATTGTTGCAACGGAAAGCCGGGTAAGATGCTCCGTAGTCATCATAGTACAAATCAGAGCCAAGGGTAGCATTGCGAGTCACCTCCTCATTTCCTTCAGTAAACAATCTGTGTCTTCTGCTCCTTGTCGTTACCTTGCTACTGCATCACATCTCAAGCACCGCCAAATCATCAACAGTCACCAAATTCACAGATCATCATGGAGCATGGCAACGTGAAAAGCTCATCTTCTTTGTTAAAGTACAGGGTGTTGGCTGGGGTATAGAATGTTACAAAAGAAAACCCAGACAAGCCAACCCCCAAAAAGCAGTTTGCGAAGAAAGCGCGATAAAATCCATCCCAAGCTTCTGAGCTTGTCGCCCAACTATCTTTTTTTCGAATCCTAGCCGACTAAACGGCTTCATACCGTAAGAGGGCCCTATATGTCTAAAAATATTCACAAGTCTATCAACATCCTTATTGACAACGCTAGTCTTCTTCTATGCACCATCCTACATCACCTGATTCACCATAGATGTGAATCTGGGAGTTTAAGCGTGGGTGGGCTTGAAGGTCCATCGGCTGTTCTCGCTGCCCTCAGCAAAGGGAACACCGAGCTCGAAGAGGCGGAGAACGACGGCGGAGAAGTCCTTGAAGAACAGGTCGTTGTCGGCAGCGTACTTCTCAACCCAAGGTCGGAAGGCCTTGTCAGTGGTCAGGACGTGGTCGGTGGGGAGCATCATCAGGGTCTTGGTGGTCTTGTCCTCGAGCTGCTTGGGACCGTCCCACTTCTTGTACTGCCACTTCTCCTCCAGCAGGAGCTTGTAGAAGTCGTTGGTCAGCATGGTGGGAGAGAAGGTCCAAGGACCCTCATAGCCAGATCGGTTGGAGTGGCATCGGCCAATGGCGTGGCCACCGCTGAGGGCGACAATCTCGCGGTCGTCGAAGCCCATGCGGTAGAAGATGTCACGCAGGTGCTTGGCGCCCTGGCTGGCGTCGGGGAGACGGCCATCGGGGGTGCAAGCAGCAGCCTCACCGTCACGGCGGCCAGGTCGGTAAGGGACAATGGGGCCGTGCATCTCCTGGATGGCGCAGACACCGCCGAGGATCCAGAGATCAGAGTAGGTGATCCAGGGGTACTTGGCTACAGGCTGATTGTTAGCACTCGACTCGACACCCAATGTTGCGCAAATGATGGAGAGACTACTCACCCTTGATAGGCTCGAGGAAGTCGCGAGCAGCAATCAGACCGGCGTTGGCACCGTGGTTGCTCTCGGGAGCGAATCGCATGGTAGCACCGTTACTGCCACCAGTCTTGGTCTCCTTGTCGTAGGTACCGCTGCAGTGCCATGCAAGACGGACCAGGACGGGGCCGTAGCTGCCATCGTCATAATCGGCATCGAGACGCTCGGCGATGTCGTTGTAGACCTTCTGGTAATCGGCCTGGGTGGGAACAAAGGTCTTGGAGGAGGCAGAGGCACCAGAGGTGAAGAACCAGATACCGAGACCACCGGCGGCGGCGGCAGCACCAAGGTACAGGAGAGAGGAGGATGACTTCTTCTCGGGCTCAGAAGAGTAGAAGCGGCGGCCCTGCTGGCGGAAAGCCTGTCGAGGGGCGGCAGCGAAGGTGCGGGTGGTTGTGCGGGTTGCCACGCGGGCAAACTGACGGGCAGAAGAGGCCATCTGAACAACGACACGAGGGAAACGTTAGCAAAGGCGTGAACGAGCAAACGCAATGGAAGGGTTGTATGGGCAGATAAGGCCAGCTTGGTGGTCAAGAGCCCAAAGACGCCTATCAGAGTCGAACCGAGCCTAAAGATACGCCCTTCTCTTTGCAAAGAAGAAGAAGAAGAGAAAACACAAACGGTATATCACTCACCTTGATGTGTGTGGGTTGAAGAGAATATGCCGAAGCAAGAAGGAGAGTAGGAAGTGTGAGGTGGGAGGGAGGGAGGCGGGATGTATATGAGAAAAAGGAAGGATGGAAGAGCGAAGAAGCGTCTCACTGCAGAGAGAGAAAGAACTGGATTAGAAAAGCACAAGCAACAGCGTTGGTGAACGGAAACGATGCAAATTGCCATCGCCTGAGTGGCCAGTCAAGTGTCGTGAGACCCGCACCCCCAGCGGAGCCCGCTCCACGTCCATCTTGCTGTTTGATATCGGTTTTAGAGCTATTGGGGGATAATACCAACGAGATGCTACGGAAGTGCTCGAAATTGCTGGCCTCGGTTGACACTAAAACTGGGGTGTGGTTATTTTGATAAGAACGCCACCATGCGCTGCTTTGAGTGGAAAAAAGGACCCCTCCTTGACAGCACGAAAAAAAAAAAAAAACTTCGATCAACAACTACCGCAGTATTAGGGGACCTCCCCGACCTGAGCCGCGCGGACAGCGAGCCGAACAGACATTTTAGCTCCCCCCTCGGCATATTATAACGTCAGTAGTAAGCATAGCTTGTAGAAGAAGGCAAAGGACCAGCTGGAACCGTGTGAATTCTTGTCGCTCCAGTCTTGCCGATGGGGCAAAGCCAAAACCTTCGCCCGATGTCGCAGTCAGCCAATGAGCGCTCTCAATTCATGCCGCAACTTGGTCCAAGATGCCGCATCATGCCATGTTAGATTTTCTCTACCCGGCTCCGTGCCGAACTCGATTTGCGGCTTCTGACAGCTTTTGCCGTGAGAAATACCGTTAAAACTGTAGATACTCACTCGTACATTCTCATACGCCTCGTAGCTACGAGTAATAGGTGGCGCTGAATTCCATCCCAGACACGCTGCCGCATTACCGCCCCTCTATTCCTATGGATTCTTATCCATTCTCGTATCGAGCTTGTCGAGGTCCCCCAGACCTCAGCTCGCATCTCACCATCCCACGGCTCGAGGTCGTCATCCCGCTCCGCTGCCTGATTTGGTCCAGTTCCGCGCGGAAAGCCGAGATAGCAAGCATTCCGCTGTGAGCGAGCCGTGGGGCTTTGATGGACGGGCTGCAACGATTACAGGTTGCCTCGCTTTTGCCTCGCTGACGCTTGTGCCTGACAAGGACCCTGAGAGACAACAAGCCGCCACTTTTGTAGCCCAAGCGATTGGTTGGACGGTTGGATGGATAGCATTTTTTAAGTGGACTGGTCGTAGAGGCTTTCTGTTTGCGGTATGCGTCGGCGAGCCACGTGGGTCCGGCCTGCTAACTACCGGTCCCTGGATTTCCCGCACTCCAGATACGGAGTCTTGTGCGCCTGTCATCAATGCCTCTCCATTACGTCTTCAAAGGCTATCAAGCGAAGGTCAGAAAAAGCGAGACCGCAAAATGAATACGTACATACATTCAGTAATATGAGCACTTAATAACCAGCTCGTAGAACGCCTATTTAGCCAACAACCCAACTTTAGTAGATAAATATAGTAGTTGTTGCTAGGAAAATAGGTATGAATATAATAGCAGTTACTGTACTAGAGATATATAGATAGGTATAATAGGGAAATGTAGATATAGCAGCTACTCCTTTTGTAGGCGTATGGTTCAACTCGTGGGTGTTCGAAACCTTCCCGGTCTCGGTTTTTCTGTCCTCCGCTTGGCTATGTATGTAAAGGTGACTAGAGTTATTTCGAATGGAGATCGGATCGAAATCTAACCCCATTTAGCGGACGGGGGTTTTTAATTTGTTTCTCATCGTACAAAGGTCTTGGTCTAGGAAGATCTGCCGTAAAATCAATCATGCGTGGTTTGGTGGCCTTGCTCCCTTCAAAGGCGGGATTGACTATCTGCGGTTCCCGTTGCGAGCGAAAAAATACAAATTCCCTACATTAAAACAAAGAAATCCTCATACCACTCGCGGCTCGCATCCAAATCTGTCTGCTAGCAAAATATGCCGCTCCTTATAGTGTCCAGCAAATGCGTATAGTACAACAACCATCCGCCATTTGAACGATGAAAACATCCTAATTTTGACGCCCCTCCAAAATGCCTATAAAAACCTGACATAGGCTGTCTGCAACATCTGTCCAAACTCCCGATACCCCGTCCTTGGCCTTGTCTAGTTGAAATCGGCAGCCCCTTGAGCTTCCGCATTTGGCTCCGGGTGAGCCTCGTAGAAATTCAGATATCTGATCTGGGCTTTGCGCTTGCTGGCTTCATCGAGCTCGCCAAGGGATGCTCCGTTCTCCTTGGCGCCACTTCCACTTTTAGACGCGGTCGAAACAGACACAGGCCTATGAGTAAGTGTTAGCTGGATTCCTTCAGTCTCTTGGGGGATCGCATGCTGAACGGACCCAAACATCTGTCTATCCACAGTCAGGAACTCCTTCATGGCATCCTTGCCGCCGCGTTGCATCAGGAAATTCATGTAAACTTGAGCCAGCTCCCGTTTGACGGGGTTGGGCAGCCGGCTTCTGCTACGGAACTCGTCAAAGACATGCTTGACGCGCTCCGTCTGGTCCGTTTCGCCTTCCTTGCCCTCAGGGCTTTGCTCAAGCTCCAGCTGGAACCACTTGTCCCAGAAAATTCTGCTATCAGCATACCACTGCACATTCTTGAGGAATACTGCTCGGGCTTCTTCAGTAGAGTTCTTGCCCTTCCATAGCAGCATGGCCCATTCGGCCACCAGTGCAGCCTTCGTGTACAGGTCAACGGTGGGAGCATCAATCTGGTCCTTGAGGACCTGGATGGCAGCCTCGGCGCCGTTCTGGCGACGCTCGAGGTTAGCCCAAGAAACAATGACTTCCACACAGTCTGGAAGCTTCATAAGGATGGCGGCGTGGATGTCAAGTGCAACGCCCACGCGACCACAGCTCTCCTCAAAGTAGGCCCACTGCATGCGAATGCCGGGCCGGCTGATGGGCACAAACAGCGTCGACGCACGAATATAGATGTTGCGGACTTCCTCCTCCTTTCCGGGCTGCTCCGCCATCCACCGGGCGTACCGGTACCAGAACTCGTCGTAGAAGGCGCAGGTGACGAGGCATCGTTCATACAGGGACACGACTCTGCTAAAATCACCCTCGCTCTCCTCAAAGTCCAGGTACTTGCGCCAGTTGTTAAGCTGGCTGTGCTCAAGCTCCGTCACGTGAAAGTACGGTCGCTTGTTCTCGGATTCGTATGTCCAGCGCTTTGATACCTCGTTCTGCGTCTGAGTGAAGACTTCGTAGTACATGGCGTCAATCTTGGCTCGAACATCCCGCTCAATCTCCAATTCCGGTCGCGGAGCACCGCCGTAGGCTGCCGCTTCCGCCGCAACCTCGGCCTGGAATTTCGACAGCGTATCTGCCGGCACAACCTCCGCAAGAGGCTGGGTGTGGGACAGGTTTCGGAACCGCTCATAGTAGCGAGCATACTGATGCAGGGGGATGCGAATGATGCGAGCATGGATGGCGAAGATGCGATCTTGGGCCTCTTGCCGTTCTTCGTACTCAATGTACTTGTCCCAAAAGGGGTGAGCGAGGAAATCTAGCCCAACAAAGGTGGCTCCGCGCTCAAAAAGCCTGCGTGGTCCTGTCAGCAAAACAAATTCCATCGGGGGTAGGGTTAGGCGATTATGGGAACAGAGAGGGTCAGTACACAAAGGGGTGGTGGCCATTTGGGAGTGCAGAAATCGAATTCTACGTCCCTAGAGGGGACAACGGTAGGAGCACGACGCAATGTTTATGGGACGAAGAGTACACATCAACAAAGTCTGGGATAAAGAGTGAGAGATAGATCCCGCTAGGATGGGGGCCGCTGTGGCATATCTCACCATCAGACACGGTCGATAGTGAGCAGCAGAGCTCGTGACAGGTGGGCAGCCGAAATCATGGTGCTTTGAGCGCGATACTGCATTGGTAGAAGTCGTTATGGGGAAGGAAAAAGTGCCCTGAATACTTACTCTCTGACCAGCGTGGGGTCATGCGTCGTCTCCATTTTGAAAGAGCAGTAGTCGGTCCAGAGATCGACCGAGTTGGTTATGCTGGCACAACCTCGCTCATAGACCTAGGTTTGGTGTCGTTAGCGGTGTGTCGCAACAACCACACGATAAGGGAGAGCAGCGCACCATTTCAGCCGATTCCGGTCCAGCAATATTGAATTCGAGATCAGCATATTTCTTCCAGTACCCAAAAAAGAGCGGGAACTTGAGCAGAAGTCGGTCGTAGGCATCGCGGACGGTGGAGAGCGCCTGAGGGCTCGAGTTTCGGTTGAGACCGCCGTCGAGAGCTTCGCAAGCCTTAATCAGGCCCTCCCAGCTCTCAAAGTTGTCTGGGTTCGCCTCCTAAGCCGGGATAATCGGTTAGCAGCCAGATGGTACGGGCCAACATGAGACAGTTGGGCGGCAGCGACCGATTGACGGAGCAGGCTGACATACCGTTTCAGCAACGAATTTGCGAACCGACGCGTACTCCTCTTCAGAGCCGCCAAAACTGTTGAAATCGCTCATGGAAGGATATTTTGAAGACGCGATTGAAGGTGAGACAAAATGAATACAGGCGTCAGGAAGCTTCCAAGGCGCGGGTTAGAGCTGTTGCAAGCGCAAAGTGTAAAGGTGAATAGTGCAAAGATGGAGGGAGAGCAGCGTTTCGAGAGAAGGTAGGGGCTTGAAGGCGAGGCTGGGGAGGCCCGCTCTGATTGGTCCAAAAATCCCCAAGGAGCACGGGAGTCAGCAAGATCAACAGGTACTTGTTGCCAAGGTCACGAGCCTCGTATTGGCGGTGGGGCTTGCAACGCATTGCCGGAGCAAAATTACCTTGCGCGCAGGTACTGGCGTGTGCTTGGCAGCAAATCAGCGTAAAGAAAGCTTGGAGCGCTCAGCTAGCGCGCGTTGCTGAGTAAGCTGCCGAGGAACAGGTTTTTTATTCACAACGGGGGCGTTTTGCAAAATCCTTTTTTTTCCTTTTCCATACATGGCCAATGATGATTCCCAAATTAAATTATGATAGGAAGAGAATGAACGCTCTCCATTCATGGCGAGCATGATCTCAAACAGAATCTGAGGTCTGACAGTCTTTGGACGTCTTTTATTTCTTTTCGTTTTGAGCTGTTCTTTTGCAGCGAGGCTGTCAATTTTGCCGCCCTGCCATAGCACCTATACTCTCGATTCTTTACTTCAAAAGACAATTACTAGACAATACGTTGAGCAACACTGCGCTTGAAGCAGAATAGAGTCATCTCTGTTTGCATGTGCTTAGCAGCAACGTCTATGTTCTGTTTTAACTGTAGTCTCTCACCCAACGCGTTGCCAAAGATTGTATATATGGAATAAGATGCGAGCTGTGATATTACCAGGTGCCTGGCATTACGTAGTATCTACCCTAACAGTTCACAATTCATTATCCTTAACCGCAATCATCATAAATTATTTCATATTGCCTCCTTTGAGACATTGTTTGTGCTTCCAATCTCTATCTAGCAGTATTATGGAGGTTTAGGTTAGATAGAATTCCATGCCGCTCTACAGATGGTAATAGGGTGGGTTGGGCCCTTGTATTTCGTGATTTACACAGACTTTCCCTCAACGCCTATGGTGTCTATCTCCATTGCTTGGCAGTCCAGCATGTGTAATTATTCCATAAAATCGTTTCACTCTACGTGCTGCTGTTTTTTTCTGTCCTTTGAATAGGGAATGGAGAGACCAAATCGAGGCGCAAGGCTGACAGTATCAAAAAGCATTGCCTCCGCACCGATAAAGTGAGCCACTTTGATAGCTCAGCTGCGCCAAAGGTAAGCTCCTAGCCGAATGTCACCAATGACATAGCGCGCTACAACAACTGCCGACAACCACCGCACAACAACAGCCATCTCAGCTCGAGAAACACAATTGCTTACGAAGAGAAAAACCAAAGAGGGAGCGCAAACCCGCCAAAGACAGCTGCAAGGCGAGGCCCGCGATCGCTCCACTCAATTGCCAGGAGACCATGGATCAACAGGGACCCTAAGTCCGCTTGCTTCCTGCTCTGAGCCCCCCTGCACGCCCAACTTGGCGCTTGATGCCACGAGTTCATCACCATCATGGACAATCCGCCGGGCTCGTGGAGCGCGCAAGCTCCTGCGCCTGAGAAGTCGAGCGAGCTGTTCATCCGCGACTATCCGCACCGGTCCATCGCCATTGTGTCGTCGTCTCATGCCCTGATCCTGCGCTACAGCTCGTCGGCGAGCGAGGCGTTTGGCAGCGGCTCTCCTGTTTCGCTGCCGTCCAGCAAGCCGCGCGGAGGCGAGAATGCGGCTGCCAAATGCATGGTGGAATTTTCTCCTATATCCAAGAAGCTATTGAAAGACTACCGTCCGCTGACGTCGCGGCCTGTGTACGGCACCTTGGGCCTGATTGCAATCAATGGAGAAGTGTTCCTCTCCGTCATCACTCATGCCGTCAGGGCCGCAACCGTCCGGCCCGGCGAGACCGTGGAGCGGATTGCGAGTGTGGATTTTTACTGTCTGAGCAGCGCTGACTACGACGATGTTGTGCCTCTGGAGTCGCTGGATGATTCATCGGATGTGTTTGGGTATAACTCATCGTCGCCTTACAGCCAAGGGCTGAGTCGGAGAGAGGTGGCCGTTGAGCATCCATGTCATGACTTGCGCAGGCTGCTCAGCAACGGGTCCTTTTACTACAGCACGGATTTCGACCTCACCAACAGAGTACAAGACCGGTATGGCCTACACAGAGCGCGCTGAGCTGGTGACTTGAGCTGACTTGTAGTTGTAAGGCCGATTAACTCAAACTCCTTTGAGATAGACAACTTTGACGACACCTACCTGTGGAACTCCTTCATGATCAGCCCGTTGGTTCAATTTCGCTCTCGGTTGATGCCCCAGGAACGTGAGGCGCTGGATTCATCACGCATCCTCACGTCTGCCATCCGTGGCTTTTGTAAGACTATGACCATCCCACAGAGCTCGTCGCCCTTGAAGGCATCCAGGAGTGGCATGCCGTCCTTTTTGACACTGATTTCACGACTGTCGTGCCGGCGGGCAGGCACCCGTTTCAACGCAAGAGGTATGGATGACAATGGCAATGTTGCAAACTTTGTCGAAACAGAGACAACGTTCTGGTCTCCTACGGGTGTTTTATTTTCCTATGCGCAGGTTCGAGGGTCGGTACCAGTCTTTTGGGAACAAGCGGCAGATCTGATCCCTGGCCGTCAAAAAATCACCATTACTCGACCGCTGGATGCGACGCAGCCCACATTCAACAAACATTTCGAGGATCTTGAGCAATCTTATGGTGCCGTTCATGTGGTTAACCTCTTGAGCGAAACTAAGCCGGGCGAAGTCGAACTTGCGACCATGTATCGGGAGTGCATCAGACGCTCCCCCTTGAGTCGGCCTGGCCAACACCAGTCCGAGGATCACGCATTGCTACGTGAGACACATTACGACTTTCACGCGGAGACCAAAGGGCCGGCAGGATACGAGGCTGCGCGCGGGATCCGCCGATACATTGAGAATTCTGCCGATGGCTTCGCTTACTACTTAGCTGAGGGCCATAACGATTCCGGCGAGAGGGGTGGTGAACGCATGGTGGTGGTACTTCAACAAGAGGGTGTCTTTCGCACCAATTGCTTGGATTGTCTGGATCGAACAAATCTGATCCAGACTTTGATCTCCCAAATGGCCGTCGAGGCATTCTTGGGTCATCGAGGAGAATTTGCAGCTTCTGATTTCTGGATGAGGCACTCTAGCCTTTGGGCTGATAACGGTGATGCCCTCTCCAAGACTTATGCTGGAACCGGAGCTTTGAAGACTTCCTTTACAAGACACGGGAAAATGTCACTGTCCGGCGCAATGGCAGACTTGCGAAAGTCTGCTCAGCGTATCTATCACAACAACTTTATAGATCCATCCAGACAAATTACCATTGACATGCTGCTTGGCCTCTTGGTCGGGCAAGCCCCCGTTCATCTGTTCGACCCCATTAGCGACTACGTTTCGATGGAGTTGACGAAGAGAAGCGAAGAGTTTACGTCGTTCAAGAATATCAGTATCTGGGTTGGCACGTTCAACCTGAACGGACGTACGGAAGGCATTGACCACGACCTATCGCCATGGCTATTCCCGCCTTCACTTGGGTCATCACAACCAGAGATATTTGTTGTTGCGTTTCAGGAGATAGTTGAGCTGAGCCCACAACAGATTATGAACAGCGACCCAACCAGAAAAGGCCTTTGGGAATCAGCCGTCAAACGAGCTCTGAACCAGCGACAAGCCAGTCTAGGAGGACATAAATATGTCTTGTTGCGGAGTGGACAACTCGTGGGAGCGGCGCTGTGCATCTTTGTAAAATCATCCTCCCTTGATCATATTAAGAATGTCGAAGGAAGTGTCAAGAAAACAGGTTTGTCCGGGATGGCCGGGAATAAGGGAGCTGTTGCTATTCGATTTGATTATGCAAACACCCATATATGCTTTGTGACGGCGCATTTGGCGGCAGGATTCTCCAATTACGATGAACGAAATCGAGATTATGCAACGATTCACGGTGGCCTAAGATTTCAGAGGAATCGAGGAATCGAGGATCATGGTATGTCATTCTGTCTAAGCTGGAAGAGATGATACGGGGAAAAAAAAGAAAGGCTGTTGAAAGCTAACTCATGCAACTAGATGCCATAATTTGGCTTGGGGATTTCAATTATCGCATCGGGCTCAGTTCAGAGGTTGTCCGCGGCTTGGTGAAGAAACGAGACCTGCAAACCATGTACGAAAATGACCAGCTGAATTTACAAATGGTGGCTGGGCTCGCGTTCCAATTCTATTCGGAAGCTCGTATTAGCTTCATGCCTACTTATAGATTCGACATTGGAACCGAAGTATACGATACCTCGTAAGCAAGCGCCCCCTCCCCCCTTCTCCCAGCCAAACACCTATCTAGTTGTACTGACAGACCTGTAGTGAAAAGGCAAGAATACCAGCCTGGACAGACAGAGTATTAAGAAAGGGAGCCATTCTCCGCCAAACGGCGTATGATTCGGCACCACTATTGTTCTCAGACCACAGGCCCGTTTACGCTACATTTGATTGCCGAGTTAGCCTCATTAACGAGGCTCAAAGAAACGCCATCAGCCATGAGTTGTATGATCGGCGTAAGATTGAAGTTGGAGACTCGGCGGCACACGGAGATGGAGAAGACACAGAAGATGAAGACTTGATTGGATACGACGCAATCGAGCCAGGTCTGCCACCGGCAAGCTCAGACCGTCAAAAATGGTGGCTCGACAATCGACAGCCGGCTCGAGCACAGATACCTATACCTAGTGGGCGAGACGGCCAGCAGATGGCTCTGAATCCAAACCGCCCATCAAATCCTTTCGGTCAGGGCGAAGAATTAGACTGGATATCGGTTTCGCGGTCGTCACCAGGGGCGTCCCTTTCTAGCATATCCAGCTCGCCGTATGAAAAGGTTATGCCTCCGAGGGGGATGATTTCAGCTGGGCCTGGTGGACCTAGGAAGCTGCCTCCCCAATATGACCCGGCCACTCTCCCTGCCCAAGTGGGACGAATGAAGATTGGAGACGGTGATAGCACGCGGAGTGCTCACGGAGACAGGTCTGGGGCGGCTCCTCCTCCTCCGCCACCTCGCCGTTCAGCGACAACTTTGGACATGGGTTCAAATACAGGGCTGGGCATCAAGTCAGCGAGTTCGACCTCCCTGGGGGCAATTGGAGGAGCTGATAGAGCAGGGACGCAACCACTGTGGATACAGCCTCGACCGGCCTCCTCAGCTTCTCAGACATCGCAGCTGTCTCAGCAGCTGAAAGCTGGGAAGCCTGCGCCGCCCGTGGCGAAGAAGCCGGCACACCTGCTGTCCACATCCCCAGCTTCAACATCGTCGTTAACATCAGGAGGCGGACGCAGCCATCCTGTACATGGCGGCGATGATTTCCACCCGCCGCTGCCCGCTCGCGCTTCAACGATGGTTGCAAAACCAGATGATGTGCAGTGGCAGACGCGATCGGCAATCTCGACTACTGGAGAAAAGCCCGTTGCACCGCCCAAACCTCCGTTGAATGTGGGCATGAACGCAACTGCAAGCACAAATACAAGGGTGGCGGCTAGAGGACCTCCCACCTTGCCACAGCGATCAAGACAGGCAAACCAAGGCCCCGTGGACCTTTTAGATTCATTGAATGAAGGAGGAGAGGAAGAGATGGGAGGCTGGGAGACATTGCAGCCAAGTGCAGCATAGAGGAAACAAAAAAGAAGAAGGTGCCATGATTTGCCTCTTACTGAATATACATGAATACAACTCTAGGGCACCTACCGCCTTGCTACGCTTGATGTTGACCGTGAAAGTTATGTGATCATCTAGGAATACTTGGAACCTTACAGACATGGCAGCATGCCAGGGCGTCCATCACATGGCTGGTGTCGCATGTACACCAGCACCAGCAAGCGAGGAGCTTCATGTGGAGTGCCCTGTTCCCTGCCCTCCAATCTCGACGAACCAAAGACAGTTTGCTGTCATCTTGTGGCTCAGGCGAATCAAGAGGCTGTGCGGTTCATTTTCGTGCCTTGCGTGCTCATCACAGTCTCTCTGTGTCACTCGGCATCCCAGCGTGGTACACCCAAACGGGATCACTTCGTGCAAAGCCGTTGATCACACCACCCAAACGGGGGACGACAGGAGAAAAAACGAACCGGTATTTCCTCCCACTAAGCGACAAGCGTTCTTCCTCCTACTCAAGCGACAAAGCTTCCAGACGCTAATGCGTCGTGGACGATCCATATAATCGAAGGTCGATGACACCCAACCAGATGCCGAAGCGGCTGTTTGTCCCATTTTCTAGCGCAAGCCGCGGCCAGTTCAAGTTCGCTGGTACGGTGTATGTAGGCGGACGGCAGTACCGGTATTGCAAGTCACGCAGGAGATTCAATTCCTATAGGCTGACGGTAGTATTGACTTGTAGGTCACGCAAGAGATTCATTCCTATAGGCTGACGGTAGTACTTGTAAGTCGGCGGTTGAGATTCCCGCGCCGGTTTGTTTGCCTCGCTACCAAGTTACACCACTTTTTATGCCTTGTTTGCATCACGGGAGGAGGGGGGAGATGAAGGTGTGCCATGTGGTGAATCGGATTTGGCTCGTGACCGCCAGCCGACGGTGTTGGAAAAAAAAAAAGGGAGGGTGGAATTTTGTGAGACATTTTTGCTGTGCGTCAATCCATTGGCAGAGAGAGAGAGGTAGAGGTATTTTGGCACGTCCCATGTTATTTCGGGGACGATGCCGATATTTGTCCATCGTCAGCCCTGCCCTTACTCGCCGCCGCCCGCGTCTATTTGTAGAAACAAGCAGCAACACGGGCCAAGGATTGATTGCTCAATCTCATTAATTATACGATACGACGGGCTGGGGAGAAGAGAGATACAGTGACTTGCAGGGCTTTCGCACGGCAGATTAAAAACAGTCCGGCGCGAAGGGAAGGATTCGATGTTCCCTGTTCCCCGTTGCTCATCAACCGGCTAGCCGACTTGGCGCGAAAGCGAAAGGCATTGAAAGCCGCGATGTCGTCAAGCCCCGACTTAGCAGCGAACGGAGCACACGACTATTCGGCTACTTGGGGGGGCGGCTAATGGGTTTGGCTCGGTGATGAATTCTGAATCGTCGTCGAAGAGCGGCTGGTGGCGATACCATTCCGCTCAGGTCTTAGCAGGCCCGAGTCGGAGTACTCCGAGGAGGTGCAAGCTTCCACCGGATCGGATGGCAATCAAGAATTTGGCTGGATCGAGTCGAGACTTTGATACTGTACGGCGATCCCATTAACCCAATTGATGACGATCCATGGATTGTCCGATGCGGCACAGAAGCCGAGAGAGCGAGAGAGCGAGAAGTGTGTTGAGAGTCAGAGTCAGCAGCAGCCCACCACCTCTCTCCGGCATTTGGACGGAGAAGAAAAGAAGAAAAAGAACATTGAATATGGCGACATTACAGTACTAGGTAAGCAACATACTGTATGTACGAGTACTTGGACTGCAATATACATCGAGGCACGCTACAGATCATCACCAGGCCGTGCTCAATTTAAACGGCCGAGACATTAATGGAAATCAAACTCCTTTCAATCCCTTGCAAGGCCGGCTCCCCACAGCACACGGCCGGGTACTTGCCTGTACCTGCGCACATGTGCACCTCCAGCACTCAACTCAACTGCTACAGTACATTACAGTGCAATCAAATACCTACAGCGGCCGAACCGTCCCTGAAGGTGACTGGCTCACATGCCTTGCCGCCACCTGCGATCAGCCCAGCCATCCAACCCACCCTGAATCTCCCCCAGAGCCCAGCGTCCACTAGCGACTCCGACCACTGAAACCGCCCCTGCGCCGCTCCACTTTCCGGCCCTGTTCCCTGTCTAGCGCCACTGCTCTTGTCTCTCTTCCCTCCCTCCCTCATATTAGTGCTAGTGCCCTTCGGTTCACTTCAACGATGGACGGTATTTTTTCTTCATCTTGTCTTGTTTCTTCCCCCCGGCTCGTATTTCTATCCTGCAAGCCAACCATTCTGATCTCACGCACGCACACGACCTTATTATTTTCATTTCCTCCTCCTTTTTCTTCTTCTCTGAAACCTCTTCTCTGATCCTCCTTTGTGCCACCCGCAACTGGCAAAAAGGAAGCCCGCTCGCCTGCGTCTTATTCATTCCTACTCCAGCTCCCCGGTGGAGCTTCATCGGCCGCTCACCAGTAACAAGCCGCCAAACCTGTCCCAAGTGGCGCTACGAGATTTCCTTTGCATTACGGGATTTCCTCTTTTCGGCCTCCACCCGCAGAAGCGAGGTTAATAAAACAAACGGACAGACGGAATCCCTCCCGCTGCAGCTCTTTTTTGGTAATACTCGTACCGGAGAGAAGACAAGACGAACGACACGAGAAACGGCAAAAAGGCGCAGCTGTTTCCATTCGGAGCGTTCCGAAGCCACCGTTCGTTCGGCTTGACACTTCCCTGCTATCACTATTATCTTTATTTCTTTCCACCCCTCCCTCGCCTCAGGTCTTTTTTTATTTTAATTCCTGGTACCCTGTCGACGTCACCAACGCCATCGAGAGATTACCTGGTGGGGGAAGCTCGTTTTGATCCTCCCAGAATTAGCAAGGGTTGGCATGAACAGCTGCCTTAAGGGGAAGCGATAACGACGTTATTTTTTATTACGCGCCGCTGGTGTTAATCTGGGCAAGGGAGATCTTGGGGCTTGTGAATCGTCGAACTAGAAACAGAGTCGATCTGTTTTTTTTTTATCCGGCCGCGACAAAAGTTCGACTGCTACAAAGGACCGACACTGCTAGTATACGAGCCAATTCACCGGCGTCGTCTGGCCAATACGCGCTCTTGTCAACTCCCAATTGCGTCGCCGATTTCAAAACTCCTCACCTCGATTATACCGCAAATAATACCCATTACCAAGTAATACCGCAGAAATAGCAGCAACGACAACACTACCACCAACAACAAAAACTACCTCGACGTCAACCGATCCAATGGCGGCTTTCAACCTGGGATTGGTCGAAGCCGTCACGACAATGGACGGCCTACCAGATTCTCCCTCCTTCCCCCTCATCTCCGCCTCCAAGCAGAATCGCATCATGATCTGGCGCGACGAGGTCGTGTCGGCATCCGCCTCATATACCGCCGCCAGCAACTATTCCGCTCCCTCACTCGTCACCACAACCACCGCGTCCTCTGCGTCCCTCACGCCCTCCGAGCTCGCCACCATGTCGCGCAGCTCACGGCTGTGGCACAAGGTCAAGACGCAGTTTACGGGAAAACGCCGCACCAGCGTGACAGCAGCCAATGCTGACCTGCCGGACTTTATGATGCCCCCCCGGAAGGGCGAGTGTACGCGAACAGCCATGTATCAGACCCTGCGGCCGGGATTTCCCATCAAGCCATACACTGGCGAGGACGAGGTGCAGAGCAGCAACGGTCACGGACGAGGTCTTTGGGATAAGCAGAAGAGATTGCTTAGAGCATCCAGACTATTGAGCGAACACCATTAGACAATGGAGGATTACTCTGCAAGAAAGTAAAAACCGAAAAACAACAAAAAAAGGTTCTTTGACTTCTTCAACTCATAGCCCTCAAACTACACTAGAGGACTGCTGCCTCACATTGACGACGAAAACGACTTCGAGACGACTCTCATCACCTCCGTTTTACACCATCCGAGAATCGAGATGGGCATACACATAATATAACGCTGGCATGTTTTTAATAGGTAATTACAGGGGAAAGCGATCTATTTTATACCACACAACCAACCTCATACTGGTCACATCTAATCTCTTTCCTTTTGTCTACTTGTGCTTTTTTCTGCTTTTTTTGCTTTTTCGGAGTGCATGGGTGGAGAGAGGTGCGGATTTTGTGTATGTTGTCGGATTTTGCTTTTTATACTAGAAGGCTTTGTCTGTTTTGTTCTTTTAAAGATTCCCACAATACTTTGGTATGCATAAAATAAAATATTTAAAATTAACCTTACTGCAACTGTTCATACTCTCTTCCGTAATGTGAGTTGTCGATTTCAATCCCAGGGTCTCGCTTTTTCTTCTTTTTGTAAGTCAGTCTTTCTTACAAGGTTTCCCTGCAATGGCGTTTTTTGTACGGAGTAAGATGCCAAGAAATTATTCCCGAGGAGATACGATGGATTGCACCATCCCAACAAACCCTTCCAAAGCAGCTTCTTTTTTTCTGCCCTGACGTAAACCCCT